CCCCCCCCCGCCGCTTCCCCGATTCTCTTTCTCTTCGGGCCCGGGGCGGCCGTGCTCTCCGTCTCTGCTTCCTCCGCGCGCTGGCGCTGGCGCTTCGCGGATGCTTCCGCCTCCTGTCTGTGCCATTTCCTCATGAACCATGCCGCCCCGTCCTCGATCTTGTCGTACCACGCCTCCTGGTCCTTGGCGCTCTCTTTCCATCTCCCCCCCCTTCTCCTCTTTCATGCCAAACGCCACGAGGTCCTCTCCTAGGCGATATCTTATGGGGAAGACAAGCGCTAGCCGACAAAATGGTACCACAAGGACTACAGTAGGACCCACGTGATTGGTTGTTGGATGAATAGTGGTAGTTTGAAACAGGACTTGTTAACAGTGTTGACAACCGAATGGTTGATGATTTTTTCGGCGACAGAGGAAGCTTTTTACCTTCTCCTGGTAGAATTTGTACAACCTCCGGCGATGCCGTTTGGAGGCTTCCCAGTTTCGCGGCTCCTCGCCCATATGCTCTTCCGCTGTTGCGCTCTGGGGTAGAAAGGTTACGTTAGCGACCACCAAGTTGTTGCTAGCATCGTCAAAGTCTCGCGTATAGGCTGTGTCGTCAAGATTATTTAATCCCTGCCACTGTTTTATCTCGGCATTATTTTCTCTGTCCCCAAGTCTGCTGGAAATGGCAACGTCCCAGAGTCGCGAAGATAAGGCGTTTGAGGACAGAGCTTGGCATGCCTGTTGAACGTGTGGAAAACGCTGACGTACCATGGTTAGTTTCAGTTACCTCAACTCGGAGGAAGAGGCTGACCAAATTCTCGTCGACTTTTTCCCCCGGCACAGCCCAAAGGTCAACTGTGCCCATCCCCCAGGGCTTGTGGTACTGCATCTCTCCGGTATTTCGGTGGGTAAACGAGAACCGTTCTGCTTCGTGGTCAAAATCCTTGACCCATACCGCACAGAGCGCTCTGGCGACCCGCCACCTCGACAGCGCCGCACGGACGTTGCGCTGTATGAGTTCGGCGCAATGCCATCGGGCTCTGTACTCGCTGCCGGGAAAGTCGTTTCTTAGATCACGCAGCTGTGACGCCGGGAAAAGCCAGTGTGAGGGGACGGCGTTGGAAAGGTGTCGTAGGCAAAACAAAGCAGGAGGTGGTTGGAAGTGGTGCCGACGAGCTGCAGAAATGGTTCTCGCCATGTAGTAGAAAATGTAAAGACCACCGTTGATGGTCATGTGCTGGGAAAAGGTAGGCATGGGAGCACACGTCGCGGCGAGAATAGTAGGGAGGAGAAACATTTCAATGTGCTCTGAACTTTGATTACAACCCCAATCAGCAAATGACCCCGGACACAATGGGTTTCTGCTTAAAGTTTCCCAGGAACTCACGTTATCGGGGTCGACGGGCTCGCCCGCTGTGGCGGGAGGCACTACAGCCGTGGGTACGAACCAATGTGACAGCGTGCGAGCGCCAGGGAGTGGCGATCCCCGTCGATCTACATCGTAGATAGCTTCACCTGTATAGGTATTGAAGAGAAAGATGGAGCCGTTCTCCTGCGGGAACCGATCGAAGTAGTCCTGTGTGGCGTGTTATGTTCCAGATTCAACCACGTGCGACAGGATATTCAAAAACGGGGGGAAATAAAACATGGGCACACACACGCAATGGTCTAAGCAGCGTACCACGAGCACATCGACTATGGGTACCAGTAGTGCGTGTTCAACTGGAACTACACATCTACGACGCCGAAGCACGACACATCCCTGCCTATATCCGCACACCCTTCGTTGGTCAGAGCTGGAAACCATCGATTAATAACACCAGGCCTGACGGTCGTGGGTGAGCGTGTCCAGAACCTTTGCTGACCAAAACGGTCTTTACTGCAGTTGTGTACGCCGTCAACCATGCATTTATGCACATGAGTGCGAGCCCGCTGTGAAGAAACAAAGAAACACTAGACTATAGTCTACAACTACTGCTGTACTGCTGTCCACAGTCAGTAGCACGCATGCATGTACACGACTGCAACAGCGACCATGTCGGTACTACAGTACTGCAGCAGTACTTGGAGTATTGGCACAGGTATTCTCGTGCGTCCCCAATAAACAGCCCGCTGGCCGTACACGAACCATTTCATCACGCCGCATGTCGAGAACGTGTCGTGTGTTCGACAAATATTGTACGCAACGTTCATGATCGCTCGTCGTCCAAACCTGACGAACGACATCGATCGCTTGGTGGACCAGAAAAAACTGACCTGACCGCTCCTTCTCCAAGCTTGTTGGAAGGGCAACAGCTGGTTATGATTGGATCTTGATTGAGATGTCATGCTGCTTGACGTGTCGAGCGCCGCGAATGGGAGGGAAAGAGAGAACAAGCAGGGTCGTGTCGTCGTGTCGTGAGTCGTGTGAACAGAACAAAGAGGAGCTGAAACCGTCATATACCAGGGACCCCGTTTCCCTAACCGCGGGTCCCCCCCAAATGCGGGACAACCAAATACAAACAATGATTGCTCCGCTCCTCCGAACGCTCGTCGTGTGGTCGCTCTTTCTCTCTCTCTCTCTCTCTCTCTCTCTCTCTCTCTCTCTCTCTCTCTCTCTCTCCCTCTCTCGTATTGTGGTGAACTATGTCCAATGGAGCGCCTCCGTGGCCACAATCATCGATGGGGCCCATGCTGCGGAGACGGCACGAGGCCGTGAACCCTGCTTCAGGGAACGGCGCAGCTCCTCGAGAAGGCACTCTCTTGGAGAGAACAATCAAGCAGTTGGATGTTTATGCCAGGGTAGATGAGGATCTACAGGTGCGAACAGAGACGGGGGCTGCCGTCACCATTGGATTCTGGGTGCTCATGGTGGTGCTTTGCGTTGGGGAGGTCCAGGCGTATCGGAAAGTTCAGGCCCCTACCGAGCGAGTGGTGGTTGATTCGACCATGGGCCAGAAGCTCCGCATCAACATCGACATGGTGAGCCGAGAGCTACTGCTGTACATGCAACATCATTGTTGTGGCAACCAAGGCGTGCGTGTGCCTATGAAGCCTACCTCGCACAAATTGCGTTGCGCATGTGGTTTGCTGCTGTCAGCTGTCAAGTAGTTGAAGACTTTAATAATGGGTTCGCGGTCACACCCATTGGATTGCAGTCTGCCTGGTGTGTGCGTGTGCGCGCCGCCGCGTCCCGGAGCGCGGAAGAGGAATCTCGCCGCACATCTCGATCAAGGATGGGTATTATCTTGGGGTGGAGTCTATTGTACACCCACTTGGTGGTTCGATTTTCACCAGCGTGCAGCTCAGTGCGTCAAATCCAAACCGTTGGCATCGTGTGTATGAGGTGCGACGGGTTCTGCTGCGGTTGGCTCTAGGAACCGACCGCACCGTACGTCGCATGATCCGTCTCATTTTATGTACATGTACTGAAGGTTCGTGACCAACCTCACCTCACCAGCGCGTGCGACTGTTCGACGTGTTCAACTCAAGAAACGCATGACAGTTTTCATTTACAGTGCCGTACTACAGGAGACAACAGCTGCCTGATCTGCAGTCAACCGCAATCGACGCGTGTCGCCGTGCCACCCATTCCCTCCATCGCAAACCGCAGACGTTTCATTCAATCCCTTGCCTGGATGTTCATGTGGATGCCATGGACGTGGCGGGCGACAATCAAATAGATATCGACCACGGTATGTGGAAGCAGCGACTAGACCCGGACGGTTCGGCAATTGGGGAAGCCTTCATGGAGGTGGTGAGTGCCTAATTCTCGATGCAATAGCTCAATACGCGTATGGGCATCCAGGATGGTTTCAAACTCGGAACGGATACCTTGGTACGGAGAACGTGCGGCGCAGGGCAACTACATTCTTTGGGCGTACTGCACACATGCAGGAGTTTGGGTTAGGGTCGGCTGGGGTTCGAATGTGTTTCGATTTGATTCGTCTTCATTGGGAATCTGGACATAGCTGAGCCAAAAGGAATTAGCAAGGGGAGTCACGCTGATTGGTGGTACCGGTATCAATCTTCTTGCACGGAATTTCGTTGTTTTCATTCCATGCTAAGAGACAGCTGCGATCGAAACCAGTTGGAGCAGAGCAACGGCCTCAGCCGTTATGAACCAAGGGATCGCAGCGCACCCTTGACACGAAGGTTTGGGTCGGGGTGTACTGGCACTTACGTTGTAATGGAGTGAAACCTGTGCTATTAATGCTGGTGTACTGGTCCTAATGATGTCTTGTCTGTCGCATGTTTGTGTTTTTTTACCTCTGTAGCCTGGCAAGGTGGATGATGACCCGGCACAATCATTACCAGAGGACTATTGCGGGAGCTGCTTCGGGGCGAAGGAGGGGTGCTGTAACATGTGCCGGGACGTAGTAGAGGCTTACACGGCCAAGGGGTGGTCTGTGCAGGACATCAGGAGGACGGCGGAGCAGGTGAGGCTAGCTTCTCCTCAGTCGTGTTACATGTTGTGCGTAGGTATCGCAATGGGGGGTAGGCGGGCGCGTTTTGTTTCTTGCGCTGAGTGCTTCTCTCTTCTTCCTGACGCGAGCATCCGAGATGTTTGCGGTGTCGAAATTGTCTATGCATGAGGTTCATGGATTGCGTCGGGGGGATGTAGCGTTTTTTCGGGGGTCGGTCCAGCTGTTGCAGTCGGCGCAGTGGCCATTGGCCGATCGCGTGGAGGTACGTTTTCGTTCGTCGAAAGGGGACCAGTTTCGGAAGGGGGCGGTTTGCACGCGCACACGGCAAGGTCCGTGCTGTGGGGTTGACCGAGGGGGTGGTGCAGTGGATGTCATGGTGGAGCTGCTTTCTCTGTATACCTTTTTGCCTTCGCATGCGCCTCTCGTGGCTTTCGGTGTTGGTCAGGGCCAGTGGGCCATGTGGACTAAGTGTCAAGCTACTGTGGCTCTTCGCCAAGTGGTTGCGTTGGCGGGTTTGCAGCCCGAGGAGTACGCGCTGCACTCCCTGAGAATTGGGGGCGCAACTTTCTTGGCGGCGG